ACCAGGAGACTGGTTTTCTGACAATAATAGTGGTCAAGTTGTCTTATTCTTCTGGGGCATCAGTGGCACAGATTTTGGCATCAGCTTCAGAACTGGGGGCATGTCAAGTAGCAATAGGTAGTAGGAATGGTGTTTCTCCTAGAACAATTTCTCAGTGAGGTTAGTCATTCATTCTTCCCAGCTCTACTGTTCCTGGTTGCAAAGTACATGACAATGAAATATCAAGCCTGTTTTCCAGTAATCCTGGAAATTCCTCAAGGTATCTAATATCTTCTAATAAACCCGTTTTTGTTTAATTTAGCTGGACTACCTGGAATTGATTCTGCCATTCGCAACCAAGAATGCTGACTATTATACCACTCACTTCTTCTTGGCTACTTTTGTGTGTTGGCCTCATTCTCCTTTCTTGTTGACTTTCTCCACATGGCAGAAGAACCACTAGCAGCCATTAATTGGCATTTTCCAGCTCTATTACCTAAAAAATCAAGTTCCCTTTCACTTCAGCGCCAAATAAAAAAGCGAGGAGAACAATAACAGCAGCCATTAATATAGCACTTACTAAGAACAGACACTATTCAAGATGTTCTACACATATTAATTCATTCATTCCTTACAATATCTCTAGGAAGCAAGTACTATGATTTTTCCTTCATTTTTCAAAGAGGGAGATGATGTAGTAAATTTCCCAAAGTCATACAGCTAGAAAGTGACAGAATCAGAATTTGAACCCAAGCAACCTGACTCCAGAATCTACACTCCCAGTGCTGGGGCATTCCACCACAGAGGTTGAGGAAAGAATAAAAAACAGCAAAAGTCCAAAAAGATCAATGAATGAGGTAGGAGGAAAATCAGAGAAAATCTGGAGGAAAATGTGATGGCTTATCAAAGAAAGAGTTTCCAGAAGGAAAGAGAAATATTTACCTGCTCAATCAGCAATCAGCAGTTACCCTTCAAAATATGTCAAATATTCAATTATCTTCAAGTGTGAATTATCAAGAGATCACTGAGAAATTTCAAAATGGAAAGCTACATCTATGAAGGAATCAAAATGAATGACCAATAGGATTTCATTACCTATTTACAGTCATCACTTCAGAATTATTCACTACCATGTTTCATTTGTGAAGCAAACAATAAGCATCATTAAATATGAAAAGAAGATGAAGAAAGAGGAGGAGGAAAGAAAAGAAGTCTACTGTGTCAGATGCTAGAGAGAGGCTAAATAGGACTGGGATAGAAAATTGACCATTAGTTTGATAGTTGGAGATTAGATGTTATTAATAAGACCAATTTCAGCAGAGTGGTGGGTACAATAAGTACACATGGAATGGGCTTACAAAAGAAAAATGGGAAGTGAGAAAGTAGAGAGAGGAAATATAAACAAATAGCTTAAGGATTATGTAAAGAGAGAGAAAGAAATGGAACATACAAGGAGGATATAGGACCAAGGGAGGCTTATTTTTAAAGATGATCCATAATAATACATCTTTGTATTGTGTTAGGAATAATTAAACGATGAAATGAAAAACAAGAATGTGGGAGAATATAACTCCAGTATCAAGATCCTTAAGTAAATGTAGGATGTGATCCAAGATACCAACGGAGCGGCTGGATGTTAAGAGGGGAAACACCATTTCCAATGTAACAGAAGGAGAAGTAAAATATGTAGAGGGTACAGATGTAGGTAGGTTGGTGGTTTTAGGGATAGGAAGATGGGATAGTTCTTAGTTAAGTGCACTTAATTGGTTAAGAATATAAATGGGATGAAAGTATGGAGGTTTGAGAAGAGAAGTTGTCCTAGAATGTAATAGAGCAAATGTGTCAGGAAAGTATAATAGCATTGTCCAGCATTGTCCAGCTGCATTGGATACCATTGGGGATTTAGGCTGGATAACTTTAGGCAAATCTAATCAGCATAGTTGTATAAACTTTCTCTACAAACATCATTGCTCAAATGTTTCACAAAGTTGGGTTTTTTCAAATGAGTTCTATGAAATGAGACAGGGACAATGTAGTTCAACTTTTCTACTAAAAATGTGACTAAAGTGCCAGAACACGGAAACTAGCTGAGTAGGAAGGTAAATGACAATGTGAAGGTAAAGGAAAGTTAAAAAAACAAACAAACAAAAAACAGTAGGGTCAATGGAGTGAATGTCCCAAGGGGTCAAAGAATAGTTCCAAGGAAATCAGTAGAAGTGAGACTGAGACTCAGAAGGTGGTGATCAGATAGTGGGACAATACTTGCCTTCCAGAGATTTTGAAGGAGAAGTTATTGGTAATGACTACCAGTAATGTCTATGGTGTGACCATGGGAGTGACAATAGCTGGCTAGAGTGGGGTGGAGGAGATTATAGGAGTTGAGAAGTTCAAGAAACAGAAAGATCAGGATGTTGAATGGATCAACTACACTGATAAGAAAACTGACGAGATTGTAGGAACAATGAAGGAAACAAAGACACCAGATGATAAATTCACTGAAGAGGGATGCAAGATAATGAAGAGATTCTGGAAGACGATTCAGGAGAGTTATTAGGTGGTAAAATCTGAAGACATGAGCTCAACAAATTTGGGATTTTCAAAGTCCAAAGAAGGACAGATGGTTTGGAAGGATCAATAGAAAACAAGACACATACTCTACCTACAAGTTCTGAGGCAAATAATGGGGAAAAGAAAAGGCATCTTCCACTTGAGAGGGACAGCCAGGTTTCAGTTAGAGGAAGAAGGAGAAGCAAATGTTCAGAGAAGAATCTGGGACATAGGAGAGTTCGCTGATGGCAAACCAGAAATCCCAGTGAGTACAATGGAGGAATGTGAAAATGATGGGGAAGCACAGGTGATGGAGTCAGACTAGGGAGGTAGAAACCAGTGTCAAGATAAGCAACATGTGATGATGATCTGGGAGGTTGTTGCCTGAGGTAACTGGGATATGGGGTGTGTTGGGAGTAGTCCTGACAATCTGGAGGAAGGTGAGTAACCAGTGTCATCCAGAGTATTCAACTGGGAGATATAGGGTCATTGTTTATTCCTGTGTCTCATCAGGGGTATTTGGGCCTACGGAATAGAAGATGGTCCCTTGGGGAACAGGTCACTTTGGGCAAGAGGCTGTTCAATTAGCAGCGCAGGCTAGGGGAAGAGCTGTTTCACTGGAAGTACTAATTGCTGTTGAGACCTCCAAACCCTGGTCTCTCCCTTCATTGCGTTGTTGTCACAACCTGAGCACCAGTGGGCTGCTGGTTGCTCCCCCAGATGGGAGGTGCAGATGGAAGGGCCACAGTCTATCTCAGGGCAGAAAGTTTTATGGCAACTGGAAAATGAGGCCAGGTGAGGAGTTGGAGCCACTAGTTTCTCTTCTCCTGGACAGGTAAAGGAGATTATAATGGTTTTTTTGTCACCAGGAATTCTAACCTTTAACCAACAAGTTTCCCTTGCTCCATTTTGTCCCATTACTTTGAATTATGCTTTTTGGATATCAGAAAAGTTCTGTTCTTCCTTGACCATTATTTCAACAAATGATACAAAATAGGTATAACTGAACTGCCTTCATCCAACATTTCAAACAAACTCCAATGATATTTGAAACTTCAGATAACTACTGCTCTCTTATCACTTTTGTTCCTATCCCCATCAAAACAAAACAAAATATAGGTAGACAAAGACACATGATAAATAGATAGATAGATAGATAGATAGATAGATAGATAGATAGATAGATAATGTAGATTAGATAGAAAGGATAGGGAGACTTAAAGATGAAAGGATGATAGATAATAGATGAATGAGAAAAGGGATGGAAGGAGAAAGGAAAGGAAGAGAACAGAAAAGAGGAGAGAAAAGAAAAGGAGGGGAGAAGAAAGGTGGGGAGAAGAGATAAGTAAGATTTGGGTAACCCTTTGAGGGGGTTAAAAAAATGTCTAGACTTTTTGGACTAATTCAATGCTATAATCTTATGAAAAGGATAATCTTATTTAGAAATCTAATTAGCTAAATAAAAGCTAATTTCCTAATTCCTCAACTTCTACATCCAAAAAATCATTACAGCTTCCAGACTCATGTAGCTTTGAAGTAGGAAAGGCCTAAAGGAAGAGTTAGAAGGCCACTCTGGAATTGCCATCTTAACCTCTGAATCAGAACTGATCTTAAAATCCCTGGACTAAAAGAATCAGTTCAAAGGCAAAGCCAGAGAGCTGTAGTCCCAAGATCTGCTATAAATAGAACATGAACCTTGCTCTTGCCAGGAAGACAAGATTCTTAAATCAGGGTTAATCTCACTATTTATTTATATATATATATAAAATACATATATTATATAATTTTTATATATTATATATTATATAAAATATGTTATATTATATAAAATATATATTATATAATTTTATATATTATGTATTATATAAAATATATATATATTTTATTATTGAAGTATAGTCAGTTTACAACACTGTATCAATTTCTGGTGTAGAGCATAATGCTTCAATCATACATGAACATACATATGTTCATTTTCATATTCTTTTTCACCATAAGTTACTATAAGATATTGAATATAATTTCCTGTGCTATACAGTATGAACTTGTTTATCTGTTTTATATATATTAGTTAGTATCCACAAATCTTGAACTCCAAATTTATCCCTTCCCACCCTCTTAATCTCACTATTATGATGAGGAACTGATATTGTCTCTCAAGAAGGATCAGCCAGTGGATTCTGGCAGCTCAAGAAGGGAATTAGGAGCAGAGTTTCAAGGGTCCTTGCCTAAGGCAACTTAAAATCCTGTAGTGAACTGATTCCCTCAGTGCACCATAAGACTTCCCCTACTCCCCCTTTAAATACTGGTTATAGAACCTATATGACATTCCAGAGACTCAGATGAGAAAGCAGACATATCCTGGAGCATAAGTTCTCACACTTTGATGTACAACTGAATTCCCCAATGAGGAGAATCATAACAGTAAGCTCCTAGTATCCAACACTCAAAGGTGATAGTTTCAAATACCTTACCTCACTTTATCCTCCTGTGCAATCAATCTCTAAGGAAGATGTTGTTTCCATTCCCATTTTACAAATGAAGAAACTCAAGCTGAAGAAGGTTAAGTAGCTTCACCAAGTCACTCCAATAATATATGATACAGCTGGTCTTATGTGCAGGACATCCAATGCCAGATCCTGTATTGTATCAACTCTGTGAACACCACTCTGTCCACATATAACCATGGGGGGTGGTTCCTGAAATTCAGAAGAAAGGGGGTTATTTTAAAAGTTGGCTTATTTGGGTGAACTTCTTTCCACAAACCTACATTGCTTTCTTATTAAACACCACACCCACACTCACACCCACACCCACATCCAAACACAAACACACATGCATACAAAACTACTTTGCACTTCTTAAAACTGGCAAGGCAGTTATCCAGGAAAATGGGAACTTGTTAAATAATTCTAAAGTATTTCAAAGAAAGTAAAATTATCCCAAAATACTGTGAGAATTATTCCTCCAGGGCACAGAATTATTTACATAGCTACCACAACTTTTAAAACAATGTTGATGTGTGGTGACATTTGTTCCATTAAAAAGAGAGAGAGAACTCTCCTGACCTTTTCAGGTTGACGACTGTTCCTTGATTAATCAATCCAAAGTAAGCATCCCAAGCATTGTTGTACAACCTCTCCATTCTGTATGCCCGATTATTTATATGGTATGGCACATTTGAGCTATATTTACTTATGGTAGTTAGGTTTAAAACCACTTTCGGGCACACACAAAACTGTGACCTCACCAGCAATCCATTAGGCTTTTTCAGAACTCCTCACTCCCTTCAGCCTCCTCTCAAGTGTTTCTGTCACCCCTCTTCCTCTCCTTTCTACCAGCCCCCAGCATTTTCACCCCCATCCATATGTACTCCTGCTATCAACCATCTTATTTCACTTAATCTACTTCTTCAGTTTATCTTCTAGAGCTCCTTCCAATGTGAATAAGCATTCTTTATGCCCCTCTCTCATTGACTATCCTGTTTTGTAAGACCTTTATTTAATCACCTCTCCTAATCTCAGGTGAAGGCTACTTGATTTCCCCACTATGTGCCACCCCTCTTCATGGTTGTCTGTAGACCTAAAGGATCCTCGCCAATTGCTTCAGACCAGAATATATGTCTTTGTCCATACCCAGTCCTCCACCAACATCCCAGGATCTTCCTCTGCACTTGGGAAGATCCATGCCCATTGATGACCATGTCAAGTTCCTGGCCTCCCTCCTCTTTAATTCCCACAAATTCTATCTTCATTTCATCTTAGCCTCCTTTCAACATAGTCAAACCTTAGTTTTATCATCCATACCTGTTTCTATGTTCTTAAAGTGAAATTCAATTTACCCTTTAAGACCATAACCTGCCATCTCCCCAAATTTCTTATCTTTCCATCCCACTGCCCCCTGATCTTCATAACAGCCCCAAATCCCATAATCTTAGTTTATCTTGATTTGCCTTTCCAATGGTCAGATAATTCATTACCTCCCTAGAATCCCCTGCCCCTTGGTCTCCTACCCTTCCCACTTTGTCAATCACTGTCTTTCCCCTTGTTTACCAAACTATCTCTACCCATTGTCTCCATTTCTTCACCCACTTATTCCTTAATTCTATGAAATCTGGCTTCTATACACATTGCTATGCTGATGCTAGTGTCTTCTCATTTTTCTGGAATTCATCTCAATTCACTACCAAATTGAGAGACTTCTGCTCATTTTTTGTATCCTTGCTCATTCTGCAGCATTTGACACTGTTTGCTGGACAAATATTTCTTCCTTCCAGTTCTAGCTCTCTCCTCTTCTGAGACATCATGCTATCCTGCTTTCCTTCCTCCCTTTACCTGCGCCCTATCTGTCTTCCTCTGGGCCTTTCTCCTCCTCCCCTAACTCTCCAAAGCTTGGTGTTTCCCTAGATTGTATCTTCATGTTATTTTCACCCTACTTTTATTCACATATGGACCTAACCTATCCTTTATTTCCTCATGGAGTAAGAACAAGTTTAGAAACAGAACTGACCTAGGTTTTGCCTCTTAATCGAACAGGATCTGACAAATAGTAGGTCTTCAACAGTGATGAGATAAATGAACTGTGTGAACATAAGCAAACCAATCAACCTCTCTGGGTCTCAGTTTCATTGCTGTTATGTGAACTGAATGCTACAGTATATAAAGAATCTTATCTAGGGACCTAGAAAATAACAGGCATATAGTACAATAAACAGTTAACCTGTCCCCTACTTCCCATGCAAATGACTCTCAAATCTAAATCTGTGAACTATATTCATAGCAGAATCCCAGACCCAAATATACATATCTCCCTTGATAGCCAGTTGGCCCCTCAGTCTCAAATATTTGAAACTACCCCATCTTCCATCCCAAACCACTTCCTCTCCCTCTCTTCCCTATTTCTATAATGATGCTACCATTCTCCCAGTTATTGAGGCTTCAGATCATAGAAATCTTTCTTGTTTCTTTATACCCTTCCCATATTCCACTATCAAGAATAAGGACTACTTCCACAAAGTCCTTCAATGTCCTTTCTACTCCCACTGCCAAGCCCCTCACCAGACCCACACTGGCTCTTGTTAAGAGCCCCACAATAGCCTCTTTAGTACTCTATTCACCTCACTCTCTTCCCACTTCACTCTTGTGATGTCTACTTTCCTAAAATCATCCCTGATCATCTCATTTCCCTACTCAAAAGTATATAATAGATCCCTGGTACTTACTGAGTGGAGCAGACTCCTTAGCCTGGCAATCAGAGCCCTGCACCTATGACCAAATTCCTACTAATGTTTTCTTTATGCACCCTGTGTTTCTCACCTTTCTGTCTTTATTCATATGCTTCCTTTTGCCTGTAGCACTTTCATCCCCAACTACAGCTGCCGAATTCTGACCAGGCTTCAAAGTCCAGCTCAATTTTTTTTTTTTCAGTTCTAATCTTTTGAGAAGTCTTCCTTGATCTTCTGGGTTGAATTTGATCATTCTTTCTCTAGTATTTCCTCAGTGGTTATATTTTCATGACTTTTATTTTATTGTATTATAATTAAGGGCTTACATATCAGCCTTCTGTACTACATAATAAGCTCCTTGAAGATAGGAGTCATGTCTTATTAATTTTTATATCCCCAAAAAACCTAGCAAAATTCTTTGCTTAGGAAAGGCTGTCTTTAAGTATCTGTTAAATTCACATGTATGTATCTTTAACAAATCACACACTGGAATTTAGTATTTTTGAAACTGAACATTATGATCATTTCTATGTAGACAAAATGTAGCTTTCAAGGCTTCTTGGCGACATATCTCTTAAGAATTGACAGAAAAACCTTAAAAGACAGTTACAATAGCTGTGAAATGTCTTCCCCACCTGCACTTTGGCCTCACACTCAGATCATAGTGATGGCTGAGCTTATAGATGAAATTATAAACTTAGAGAAAAATAATTGTTATCATCTTCCTGGTTAAAAAGACAAGGAAATACTTCCTGCTCTGAAGAGCCTAGTGTATGAGAGATGGAGAATGTGTCAATTCAGGAACATTAATGGCAGGGGTAACCTGTCAAGGCATTAGAATGCTTTGTAAAACCCAACGTGGACTTAGTCCTTGCAGTTAGCAAGTCCCAGAAGCTACATGGTACATCAAAAGGGCTTTAAAGTTATCTCAGCTGAGCGACTGATAGGCTATGAGACCTTGTCAAAGTCACTCCTTGCTTTTGGCCTCCATTTCTACATCTATAAAATAAGGAGGTTAACATACCAGGCAATCTCTAAGCTTCTTTTCCACCCCAGACCTGCTCTGAGATATAAGATGCCTCTGCTCTGCAGCCATTTGAAGCAATACAGCAAAGGAGCAAAAAATCTGAGCATTATAGTCAGACCCAGCAGGCACCTGTCTTGGCGCCTCCAGCTGTGTATTGTCTAGGAAAATATATAATCTCTCTGCTCAATTTGGTCCCTAGATCCAGCTCCTTCTGAAACCCATTCATCCTTAGGGTTTCCAGTTAAATGAGTCATTAAATTACTTTTAACTGGGATAGCTTTATTTGGGTTTCTTCATCTGTAGGAAGGCCATGATGATGATAATAATAATAGTAACTACTTCACAGGGTTATTTTAAGGATTAAAAGATATGTGTGAATTGCTTAGTACAATGCCTGGCACATAGCAAGTGCTGGATGAATTTGGTCATTATAAAGTTAAACGGGATCCATTTTCAAAAACAGTAAACATATCCTGAGAATATTAAGTGAATCACCTTCCACAGGTAGGTGCCCAAGTATGTCCTCAGGCAGCCAGGAGGTGGCCCTGAGCTTCTGAAGATAAGGGTTATAAACTGGTAGCCCACAAATGTTTGCCCCATGTGTGTATTTTCTTGGTATAAATAGTGTTCTTGTTTAATTGATTAAATTACCAACATTTAAAAAGCAGGGTTTCACATTTCTGGCTTCTTTTGAAACATTGGGAGTATCTGGCAATAGTGAACTTGCATCCTGCACAGCATCAATAACTAGAGCTTCCCCTTAAACTTCCCATTGCTCCCTATTGTCCTCCACCCAGCCTGTTCCACTCATTTATGCTACATGCCTCATCCTTCTAGGCATTTCAGTTTTGATCTCTGTCCTAGGAGATGAGGACAGTTGTTCTTCTTCATTAGATAGCCCACACTTTTCCCATCACATGCAGAGAGTCTACAAAAGAACCAGCACAGAGAGAGAAGTGGAATTGAAACATAGGAGTCAGAGGGAGCCCTAATTATATCATTTGGTCCCTAGATCTAGCTCCTCCTGAAACCCATTCATCCTTAGATTTTCCAGTTAAATGAGTCATTAAATTCCCCTTTTTAACTGAGGTAGTTTTATTTAGGTTTTTGTCCCCTGCAACCAAGAGACAACCAATTCTATGACTAGGGTGCCAATTTATCCTTGTTTTATCACTGGAAGTCTCACATCCCTGGAAACCTTTCAGTCCCAGGCAAACTGGGATGGTTGATCAGCCTATTCATGGCAAAGTTATGATTAAAAGTCATTCAGATAGTTGTAATCAAAGCTTATGCTCTCTACCTCTTTGCATCTCTCACTTTCATTTCCAAAATTCATTATTAAATTATCAAAAATGGATGAGATTTTGGTTTCTAATACCATTTTCCTATAAAATAAACCATGGTATTTTGGAGAAATGGCTCATTCTAGGACTGGAGCAGAGAATATA